CGCTCCGACGGGCCCTTCGCGCTCCAGCCGCCCCGCCGCTCCCCCGGGAGCCGTTCTGCAGGAGAGAGGGGGCCGCACGCGGCCGGCCCAGAGCAGGGCGGTGGCGCCGCGATGGTACAGTTTTATTGTACAGGTGCTAACAGGACTCTGGAGGATGGGACAATCTATTAATTTCTGTTTGTTTTTTTTCCCTCCCTTTTTCCCTGGCTCTTCCCCTGCTCCGGAGCCTCCGGTGGGTTTTTCTGTTTGTTTGTTTGTTTTTTTTTCCTTTCCATTGTGTTGTGTTTCTTCCCAGCCAGGGCAGGTGTCTCCCTCTCCCTTGGACTCCCGGCTGCCGTCCGCCCCGTCCGTGGGGCCCGGCCGGCTCCTCTTTGTTTTTTTTAAGCCGAGGGTTTCTTTTGCCTTTGGGTGTGTATTCTGGCTGCTCTTTTCTGATTTCTGTTTTATTATAAGCAACCGGCTGTGGTGTCAAAAACACTTATGTACAGAAAAAAAAACCCTGCATCAGGCCTCCTGGCTGCTGCTTCTGCTTCTTTTAAGGCCAGGGCTGGGCTATGGGAGGGCTGTGGCTGCCGGTCCCGCGTGGGCTGGGCCGGCCTTTGCCCACCTCGCAAAGCCCTCGCGCGTGGCCCCCATTAGGCTGCAACCCCGTTGGGCTCTGAGTGCTCTCCCCGCCAACCCTTGGCTCCGCAACCCGCGCAGGGTGGTCACAGTGCACAGCGCGGCCAGGGGAAGGATGCAGGAGGATGCCCGGAGCAGGGGCGAGCTCCAGCCATGGACTGGCGTTCCCGGTGGGAGCGCTGCAGCCGGAGCTGGCTGGGCCGAGCGGCCGCCTCCGTGGGCTGCAAAGGCCAGCAATGTCAGCGCGGCCCTGGAGCCTGCTCTGCTCCGGGCACGGGAGCAGCCACGTCCAAGCAGCCCCAGGCCGGAGCCGACCGGGACACGAGCCTGGCGTGCAGGCGGAGTGGGTGGAAGGGGCTGAGCTTCAGAAGCGGCTGCAGGAGCCCACCGCGGTCTGCAGGAAAAGACATGCGAGATAAGGAAGAACCACCAGCACAGGCAGGTCGGTGACATGACGGTAGAGCTAAAAGTAAAGCCCAGGGTAAGGAGGATGCCCTGACCATGCAGGACTGAGCCCCTTGCCTTGGAAATCAGCCTGCAACTCTGCACACATGGTAACGCTGGGCTAGCAGCCCGCTGGCCAAGCAGGGGGCATTAAGAATGCAGCAAGCTCTTGGCTCCCATGGGTGCTCCTGGTCCCCCTCTGCCCTACAGAGGTTACTCTCTTGACCAGTGTGATATAATGGGGCTATAAGTAAATGATAAAAAGATAATTTATTTTTATATGCATGTATATGTATAGATATATATGTATTTTTTTTTCAAAATTCACATCTCACCATCCACATGCAAGCAGGGAACCTATCCCCTCTGGGCTGAGACATCCTGACTAACCAGCATTGCCAACCCACCGTCACCGCTTGGGCAAGGAGTGTCCCAGGTAAATCTCTCTGTGTGCTCATTAATGTCAGCCTGGGACAGAAGCAGACCTGGAGACAGGATCCAGTAAATAACTGCACATCTGCCAGAAAGCAGATTTCATCTCTCGTGTTGATCTATGACATCCTTCAGAGGCAGCTCCCACCAATGCTGCGATCACAGAACAGCTTTCCTGCTCCGCCAGGCTCACCTGCAGCAAAGGCAAAGGCCTTTTAAATGTCTCCCAAGTACAGAGGCTCCTCAAGCTCCTGGGACAGCCCAGGCCACTCTTCAACTACCAGCAGGGAAAAAGTGGGGTTTTTTTGTATGTCTTCAGGTAGACTTTTCTGTGTGTTTTTGCCATGGCCTCTCCTCCTGTCACTGGGCACCACTGAGAAAAGTTTGCCCCCCTGTTCTTGCCTCCCTGACATGGGCTCTGTCTGTACATTGGCAAGATGCCTCTATCACTCTCAGGCTGAGGAACAGCTCCCACTGAAGCGGCACCGTTGTCCCCTGCTCCTGGCCATGCTGGCAGACATCTCCAGCCCCAGGAGGTGGATTTCACCTTGTGCTCTCCCTAATCCACCGCTGTGCCCAGCAGCCATTCCGTAAAACACATCCCTTCTTCAGGGTCCAGGCATCTCTCACACCCTGGTTGGTGCCAAAGACCCTCTCAAATGTCAGAAATGAGGCACAGTCCTTTTGCTTGTAGCTGTCAACAGTTTCAAACTCCTTCCAAAACTGCCACAAATGCAACCCCCCATCCAACCAGTCAGCAGGACTACAGCTCAGGGGCCTGGAAGTGCTGCAAGAAAACAGGCTGCAGCTCTGCAGGCTTCTCTGCTGCTGATGCAAGGGAGAAAAAAGGACAGCCCTGCCCAAATGCCGTGAGGTGCAGAAAAAAGTTAGCAAAGGCATTTAACTTAGAAGAAACTGATTTTATTGGTGCAAACGTTAGACTTCTAGGTGAGTGGAAATATTCACAAGGATGCGGAGCAAGGGGTGTTCACAGCCAGCTGCCCCGTTCACTCCTAGTGCAGTGATCCCAGTCTGGAGTTTAGTCTTCATGGATGTTGAACAGCTTAGCGACTTCATTGAGATCAGCATGTTCCTCCCCATCTTTGATGATCTGAAAGAAGGGAGGAAGATACGTTAAAGCCTGCACATGTAACAAATAGCTTAGACTGTGCACGTGCTCTCCCAAACGATGTGCTGACAGTTGAAGGACCAACAGAACTTCCAGCATTAAGAAGAGTTCATTTTGGAACAGATCCCCTAGGCAGAATGTGAGAGCACTCATATTTTAATTGACTTCTGAAGTTTTTTTTATGGCTGTGCATCCAGGATGGCACATATGTCTATGCATATACAAGTATAACTAATCCTAGCTTTGGGGAGAAGAGACAGACTGAAGTGGCTATTCAAGGCCCCTTTTATGGCTGTGCGTCCAGGATGGCACATATGTCTATGCATATGACCAATTTTGACATTTGTACATTAGACAAAGCAGCACAAAATAGGACAATTCACTCTGATGCTCAGTCTCTTGTGATTCTTGCCTGTACTTATTACAGGTCAGGAACTTCAGCTGCGCAAGGGAAGGGATGAGGTGTAAGCCTGATACAAGCTGTTCTGTGACAACTCGGAATAGAACAGCCACAAAAGCACAAGGACATCTCCTGTAATCCACCTGAGACATGGTTGCCCTTGGAGGCTGCACAGCTCTGCTCCAAAGCATCTGCATGAATTTATTCTCATTTGAAATGGGTAGACTGACTTTTTTTCCCCCATAAATAAAGGCTCATGAAGCCTTTAGATAAGCCAGCCAAAGGCCACAACCCCAGCCTGCAGCAGACTGGTCCTCCACTGACCTTTCGAGCAATGGGCATCCTGTTGAAGATGTTCCATAGCACAATTCCTACCACAACTTTATCCCTGAGGTAGAAAATGACACCTTTGCCATAATCTTCTCCTTGCTTTGGAACTTGAGGTGTTGGTGAAGAACTCGAAGAAACTGCTACTTCTGAGGCTTCTGCTTCTGTTTCACTTTCTGATCGTATACCCGTCCCTAATGCAAAGATAGAGGAGAGACTTGATTTCAAACAGTCAGTGCAGAAGAAAACAGTGACAAAACTATCTGCCTGTGATGGAAGCAGACTTCTGTAAGAGACCGTGAGGTGCCATTTTGAGCTGACAGCATCACATACACACACAGATCACAGAATAGTTGAGATTGGAGGGGACCTCGGGACATCAGGTAGTTCTACTCCTTTGCTCAAGCAGGGTCACCTGCAACACATTGCTCAGGACCCTTTCTGGAGGGTTTTTAATATGTCCCAAGGATGGAGACTCTGTAACATCTCTGGGGATCCTGTTCCAGGGCTCACAGTAAAAAAGTGTTTCCCTATGTTCACATGGAGCTTCCTGCGCTTCCATTTGTGCCTTTTGCCTCTCAGCCTGTCACTGGACACCACTGGAAAGAGTCTGACCCCATTTGCTGGGCAAGCTCTCCCCAGGTATTTATATGTGTATATGGGATCATATGTGTATATGATCCCTGCTCAGTCTTCTCCAGTCCTCAGCCCTTCTTCATATGAGAGATGCTCTAGTCCCTTAACCATCTTAGCAGTCCTCAGCAGGACTCACTTGTCCCTCTTGTGCTGGGGAGCCCAGAACCGGCCACAGCACCAAGTGCATTTCTGGTAATACCCACCTTCCGTGTAATGCTAATGCAAAACACAGAGCACATGTACACACACTCTCACACACATATATATGTGCATTACACAAAGTAAATAAGCTTACACCTATAGAAAACAGTTGGTGCAGAGATCAGTCATTTAAGGAGTACTACTGCTATACAGGAAATCATGCTCCACTCAATTAACAAAAGAAAAAAAAAGAATGTTTATTTTGAAATAAGTTACGTGGTGCCTGATTGGGGAAATATCATGTTTTAATCAATTTTTAAGATCAAAAATAGCCTCTGGAGCTTAGCCTAGAAGAATGAGAAGTGCCCACACTAGAGTCTCCTAATGCTCTGCTCTAAGACCAAAGTCTAAAACCAGGCAGCCACGACCTGCGAGATGCAGAGCCCTCCGTGCACCCAGGCAGCTCCCAAGGAGGACTCCATCCCTCCTACCTGATTGCTCTGTTGCAGATTTTGGTGTGTCTTTTGCTGTTGCTTTAGCAAACACTCCTACTGTAGGCAGACTGCTGTCGACAAGGCCAATGGCTTCATACCCCACGTCGGGACCCAAATCACTCCTAAGAACGAGCGGAAAAACAAAATACAGTGGTAGGTAAGGACTTGGCACACAGACTAAGTGACAGCACCTCTTCTGCACACATTAGTACAGAAATTTAAATCCAACCATGACCATGTAGGTCCCTACAGGAAGCTCTAGTTGCCTCCAGAGTGGGAATGTTTAAGAATATATATATGTATGTGTGTGTGTGTGTGTGTGTGTGTGTGTGTGTACACATTCACAAATGAATAAACACATATATATTTGTATTAATAATAATAATAGTATATAATAATACGTTCTTACTAATTATATGCTATTATATGATTGCATATATTAATCATATTATATCATATAATTAACATTATTAAACCCCAAATAGTGTCAGCTTAGCTGCATGTGAGAGCTTCAGAAGTACCAGGCCAGGGCAAATATTCTGGTCTGGTGCATTCACTGTGCCTTCCTTTGAAGAAAATTATTAGATATGTACAGAGCTAAATGTCAGGGAAGTAAAGGCTGCCTCCTCCATGCTGTGAATTTCTTCATTGTCCTTAGGAGATGTGGTTCAACTACCAGATGTTGGTGTCTCTTCAAAAACCCCTGTAGTTTATTTTGCATATGTACAACACAGGTCTAAACATGCACTTACTTTGGCAACACAAACCTGGAAAGTAACTTGTAGTTACAAACCTGCTCCCCGCAAAGATATATAAGCTCCAGCCTTTTTGAAACCATGGTTTAATTCAGTGCAAGCAACATAAGCTAGAGTTGAAGCTGTTTCCAAGTAGGAAATCATTAAGGAACTCCAATTACATAGCTAAAAAATTACTGCAGGAAAATAGTGACAAGATCTGAAGTACAAGAGTCCTTATTTCTTAAAGTTAAACTCATGTCATTGTAATTTCCTGCACAGAGATGACATGAAAAAAATCATATGCTTTTTCCTGTTATCTTCATCCTCCCTACTCAAAGCACAGTTCCTACCTTATTTACCAAGGCTATCCAAAATCACAGGAAAAAAAACACAGGAAACAGGTATCTTTCAATTGCATTTCCATGCTGACCTAAGCGCAGCACTGCAAAGATTCACCTAACTAATAACCTTATTTTCTCAACAGTCTGCCACTGGAATGGGGTATCATGACACAGTCTAAGGCCATCAGTTTTGGAGCAAAACAGTCAAGGAACAAAAGCTTAAAACACTTGGGGCCTACTTCTTTGCAGGGTGCTGGACAGCTTGCAATATCCGCATGTATCCCGCCACTCCAGCAAGCTACATGCCTGATTCTCAAGACTCAAGTGTGAGCAATGGGGATTTCTGTGAAAATCTTTCGCTTGCTTAGTACCATATGATTTGGAGACAGAGCTAGGGTAGCAGCAAATCTTCCTCCAGGTCCAAATAAAAACCCTCGACCGAACTTCTGGCACTGCTCAGTAGACTTTGCAGCCATGATAATTAAGACATTTCAGAGACTGCATATAAAGAGGATTAAAGAAAAAGGAACATTCTTTCAACACCTCCTTGTACTGGACCTTGTTGGATATGAACTGGGGTGTTTTTAGGAGTCAATGCAGCCATGGTTTGAGGTCCAGAAATTAAATCAAAGGTATTCCCAGCCATGTTGCATCATAGAAAACATTCTGGCTATCTCTACATGGACACTGCTAGCCTCCTGGCCAGAATCTCAAACACACACTGCGCAGGCTGACACAAACGCCAGTAACGTGCCAACTAACCAGATTAGGTACCCAGCAGTAAATAAGTCAGAGCCCAGGAGTGATTCTGAACAGCAAGAAAAATAAAGTACGAGGAGTTGCTGCTCTCTGCCAGCTTTTTAGGACAGGAGGAAGTCTCACTTGGTGGGGGCTGGCAAACCTCCAGAGTTAACACCTGTCAACAGAACACGAGACTTAACTCATGGCCCTCCAACTGTTTGCACCTATATTGCGGTCAGAGTAGCATGAAGAAAAAACACAATTAAGATGGATACTTCTATGTGTGTGTGTTTTTTTTTTTTCCTCCAGAGGTTTAATAGTGAAGCAACACCACCTTCCTGGGTGTGTTGATTGAGCGTTCAGATAAAGGATGGCAAGCCATAAATTAGAGTTTCTGAAATTTTTTTTTGAAAAGTAGAAACACCTTTCCCCATATTTAAATTCATGCTGGCTTTAGATTTCTGACCCATCTTGAATTAACAGATTTTTTGTTAAGGATTCAGAAAAAGCTGAGTGGCTGCTCTTTCCTGCTGCTTGCTTTGCTGAACGCGACACGCTTGGGGAATAACTGGGATATGCAGAAAAGAAAAACACTTCCAAATGTTTTTAAACTCTTGGATTAAAGTGTATTAAAGCTTAAATATCCTCTTGTTCCCTGAGCTTCTGGGAACAAGAGCCGTGAAGCTATTTGCAGAGGTATTTCAGTACACTCAGGAAACAGAAACCTTTAAAAGGTGCATCTTGTCATAGCCCCTGCAACCTGGCCAAATGAGAAATGCCAGAAGAGGAAATCAGCATTACCAGAACATGGACTGATGCCAGTAGGGCTTTGCAGCTCCTGTCATGTTTTCTCCAGCTAGTCTTCCACTTACAACGGCATGATCGTGGTGCTCCACACGTCTCCTGCCTAGCTTGATATCATAGAAGCAGGCAGCATCCCCTGCCTTAAAGAAAAAGGCAGTCAGTGAGGACTGAACATAGACACAGAAGGTTCAAATTAACACACAAACATGAAGGGCATCGGAATGAGGAAAATGGAGCGGAAAAATGAAGAGTTTTTCCTCATAAATTCTGCTTTTTCCCCCTGCCCAGGCTATGCAGCTCCCATACTCTCAGCATTTCTCATAGTCTTCTGAAAACCAAGACAGGAGCAGGTATGTTTGTTCCAGAAGTAGCAAAGTCTTGACTCCCACCAAAGGGACTCTTATGCAATAGAACGATCTGCGCTATCTTTAGACAGCCCCAACTCCTTTTAGAGGGCATAAATACCCAGAAACGTGCACAGGCGTCGCCACAGCAACACACTCTGCTGCGCTGCATGAATGGGCTCCACGGCACCAGCGGGATCTGCACTACGACTGCTCCCACGACTCAATATTTTGTCCCCGTTTGCCTAATCAACACACACCGGCGCCCAATAAATCTGGGTATTCAGCTGTACATCAGTGTAACCAGGCAGATGATCCTGTCTCCTGAGAGTCTCCGTCTCAGAGATACTCACCACCCAGATATTGGAGCGCGCCTGCAGCTCAGCGTTCACCCTGAACCCACCGAAGTCAGAGTCCACCTCCAGGCCAGCAGACTTGGCTAATTCCACATTAGGCTCGAGCCCTACTGCAGCCACAATGTGATCAGTCTCCACCTGTTTGGGAATTTAGAATTTTTATTTTAATTGTTTCTCTCAGTGCCCCTGCTCCACCCTCTCCTTGCTTTTACATTTACCTTTCGGCCATCCTTCAGTTTAATCACCAGCCGCTTGCCGCTGACAGAGACAGACTTCACCACTGCGTTAGGCATGACATTAACACCCTCTGGAAACAAAAACAGGACGTAACTGCTTGCTCAAGGGTAAACAGATTTCAGCTGGTGCCTGTGGTTCACATACAGATGCAGGCAAATCAGTGGACAGACTTGGAACCATGCGAAAAACCACCTTATTTTTGCTGCCTGTGGCAATACAGTGTTGAGTAAAGCACAAAGAGAAAGAAACTCAGCTAACAAGTTGGAGAGTGTTATGGAAATGACACACAAAATACATATCTCATAATTATATGGTCAAATCCACAAGATTGGATTGGCCCAAAGCCTGGTTCCTTGAGCACGAGGAATACCCAACAGCTGTCACAGCCAGACCCAGGAGTCCTATGAAGGAGCCTTCCAGAATGGAAAGAAAACTCACTCCCAGCAAGTTACTGGGCCTTAAACCTCTGCACCAGCTCTATTCCCCCTCCTCCTATCCCCAACTCCACTTAGCAATGCACAGAAATTTATTCTGCACTAAATACTCCTTTTTTCCCTTTGCTGTATCTCAGAATTTACTGACTTTGAGCTAAACACTACAGCAATTTGTTTGGCAAAGGTGCATGCTTAAGGAATGGGGCTCTGCAATCCTCTTCAAATGAATCTAGGCTGAGTGGATTGGGCTAGAAGATGAAAAAATGAGGCTAAAGCAACTCGGAAGAGGAGGCCAGGCAGAAGTTTTACACGACTTTGGTTCCAGATTACAGGGTTTGTTGAAGTAGCTTGAGAGCTGTGTGGCAGTAGGGATTATTGTGCGTGTGGCCGACCAGAGGGATAATCTCACCAGACCACTGTGCACATTTGGCTTGACCTTTCCAGGGAAACTGCTGAGAACTGCTCTGTGCAACCTAAATTGCCCATGGACAAGCTTGAGCTGTGACTAGTTCTGTTTTGCACTTGGGCCGCCTTGCAAGGGACCCAGTTTTTTGCTGACAAAACTTCAAAAGAAGAGCCTGCGAGACAGCTGCTGGCTTCAACACCACCGCTCCAGCACTCGCAGAGGAGGAGGACTGAGGAGCAGCTTCACCTCTTCTGACTTTCTCTGTGGTCCAGTTGCTCAGGTATTCAGGCAAGACCTTGCCCATGTTGCCGTTCTCTGGAAACAGCTGAACCACCTCCAGGCCTCTGGTTCGTGCTGAAAGGGAAGCAAAGGACAGGCTTCCTGTATCACGGACAAAGAGCAGCAGCGCAGATTTCAAAACACGAGCAGATGCTTTAGTTTGCTTTAGACAAGGAGCCTGAATAAATTTTTCAAAAATTGGGAGTTCTAGATTTTACTTAGGAGTCACAAAGTAATTAGCCACAGCATGCCTGCAAACTCTAGGGTAACACGTAGTTGTGATGCAAGATGATTAGCATTATGGAGACAACTTCCCTTCTTGGAAATCTGCAGAAATTCAAAAAGCTGCAGGCACTTGAGAATAAGTTTCCAATTGTTCACAGCCTCTTTGAAATACTAGTTTCAGAGTGGCTTTAGTATTGACAGAGCAAATATAACTTTCTTCACAGGGTGGAATGACTTTGCAACATGCACTGGCCTGCAGAGCTTCCAGAGAGCCCAACTTCCAAAAAATCTCTGGGGTCAGGTGCTGCCTGACAGCTAATGAGAGAGAAAATTGAAATCCAGGCCAGGCCATATAGCCAACAAATGGCATGTGCATTAAGGTTATTTCAGGCAAACTGCAAATCTGTGCAAAAACTCAGCAGTGGGGGAATGAAAAGGAAGTTTATAATGTCGAGCTGCTTGCATTCGATGTCTGTTGCTTCTGCCAAGGGGCCAGGCTGAAGGCAAACTGCCTGTGGGTCCAAACTTACCTCTTCTTCCCAGAGCGCAGGCCAGCTCACTGCCAAGAAAACCACCACCAATAATTGTGATGGACTTGACCTCTCTTGATATCTTCTCCAGATTCCTGAAGTCCTCAATCTGAAAGAAGATTTATTCCCTTTTCAGATATATTTGGGCAGCAGTGGCAGCCAAAAATGAATTTCACTATTTTTTTTTTCCTTTGAAAGAGGAGCAATGCTTTCCCAAAGTCATAAAGGGAAAAGTGTTTCTCTCTCCTCCAGTGATTCCTCTGGCTTCCTAGTGTCTGTGCAAGTTTCTTTAGTTTCATTATTCAGTTATTGCCTGAAGATGCAGACTTGTTTTATCATTTTGAACTAGGAAGATTCAAAGCAAATTCAGATTCCTGCATTTTCCCCTAACTGTCAAGAGCAAATTAAAATGAAGTTACTAGACATGAGCTTACTTAACAGTACTTCAAGGACGCCACAGTTCACATCACCTATCTCTTCCCACCCCCAGCTGAGCCAACCATCTCTACTGGATCCTAGGGAAAGGTCAGCAGAGCAGGAAGTTCCCACATGGCTTCCTTATTCTTGATTCATTCACTGAACTTGACTAAGAAGGTTGCATGTCTGTTCCAAACACCCTCAAGTCAAGAAAAACTCAGATTGTCTACAGTGAAAACGAAAAGTCCATTGACTACCTTCCATGCCTTTCCTTGATTGTCCTCCAAGGCATAGGATGAAGGTGCCTTGAAAGACCATGAAGACCATGAAGAAGAAATGGATATTAGTTCATCAGAAAACTACCTAAGCTAATCTAAGAGCTAAAATGCACACTCAGCTTCACACTCTGGCAAAGTTTCAGAGAGTGAGAGCAACCTCTGTCCCGTCACGGGATGAAGTCCAACGTGTGGCCCATGCACTGCTGAACTGAGACAGACATTTAACCACAGGAGTGGCATCAAGCTAGGGCACTAGGTTAGCTTCCAGTGAGTGCTCATGGTCCAGAAGGCCAATTAACTGTCCAAACTGACTTGCAGTTGTGGAAGCTGAAAGAGCTTACATTTTTCTTGCTTTTAAAAGGCTTGGAAGAGGCAGGAAAGCCATACAGAAGGGAAACTAAAAATCACACACTGTTACAGCTTTTGGCCCTTCGGCAACGGGGAAAGTAGTGTTGCCTGTGGAAAAGGAAGAAAAAAAAAAAAAAAAAGCACTCCTGCTTATTGGCTGAAGGACATTGCTGCCAAGGCAATGATGTCCTGGACTGAAAGGAGAAGAGCTAACAAGTTGCTGTAGCGATTTCTTCAAGCTCACCCCAGGCCCAGCAGCACCCACATATTACCTTGCGGAACAGGGTCAGCTTTTGTTGTACATCTTTTCCTGCTCTTTCGATTGCAGGTAGATTCCTTGGGGAACCACCTAAGGATAGGAAGAGCGCGATTAATGACACCACGGTTAATTGTCACTGGCCATCAGACAATGTAGCCAAACACTGCATCTGGACTCAGCCCCTCCTACTGATAAAATATGCTCTCCCCCAATTGCTCTCAGAGTTTTTTCCATGAAAGATCATGTAAGAATGATCTGATCAGGAAAGACCAGGGAGAGATCACTGGGTAACCCTGCAAATCACTGTGGGGCACAAAATCTAATATTATACCTTGCTGCACTGATTGGAGACACTAAGCTCCAGTTTAAACACAGTGAGACGGGGCACTGAAGCTACACACTGCAGCAGTATTTTGCCTAGGCAAACCCTGGTTGTTCTCCTTGCCACTACTACAAGCAGGTTCTCAAGAGGCTGTGCTGTACAGGAGTTCCTTTATCAAGCTGATGAGGAAGTCCCCTTTTCTTCTGGGTTTTATCCACGCAGAACTGTGAAGGTCCCAGAAGCGGGTGAGGAAGGTAAAACCTACAACTGGCACATTTGTTTGTCTGCGTGACTGCCCTTCAAGTGACTGCTCTGAAAAGTGTTTGAAATGTATCGCAGAGGCTTCCTCCTCAGGTAAACTCCACTAAAATCAGGGGCCTGCCACAAGACAGAGAACAAACAGCAGAAAACTTACCAGTGGCAATTAGACATTTGTCATAGGATATTTGGGTACCATCGTCGAGTTTCACTACATTGCCTCTAACATCCATATGCACAACCTGCAAAATAAAATAAGGAGAGCTCATGCTTCATGTACTGGAAGCCACTTCAGTTAAACTGCACAAGTTATTGAGCGGAGAAGCAGAAGTGGAAGTAACATTTTCCCACCTTCAAGTGAGTGTGTATTTTGGAGGGAGGGATGTAGATGGGAAGTGGGGAGAAGAAAGAGAGACTGGAAGTAGGAATTCAGGCACCTTCTCTTGGCAACAATCATAGTTCATGTTGATCTTCCCAGGATCTGACTCCAAGGAATGAGCTCAGACACCTAATGTAGATCAGCAGCAAGAGGACTCTGAAGTCTTATTTTAGCAATATTTAGAAAAGGGAGGAAGCAAACGTATTATATGCCTCACACCAAACTCCTTTTCACTATGCTGCTGCTTCTGCATGATGCTCTTGCTCATGTCAGAGTCCACTACACATTACACGTGACTCTCCTTATCTTAATCTCTCTGAATGATCCACGCTAAGCTCCAATGTATCTCATCCTTTCTCCTACGTTCTGCACATGGGTATGTCCCAAACCCAAACTTTAATCCTACCCTTTCATCTTCCTCATATTCGCTCAGATTGCTGCTATCCCTGATAACTTTTCCTGCTTTCACACTTCATCCATGCCTGCTTCTTACCTAGCTAGTGTTCCAAGCATTTTAGCCCAATTATTTTCATATTCTCCCCAGCCAAACTGGTCATGATGGTGTAGAATCAGCGCAGACTATAAGCTCTATGTGAAGAGCTGTAGGATGCTAGAACAGCAACTAGCTCTGCACCCACCTTCTTGCCAGGCAGAACTGCTACTCCCCCATTTTCTACAAAAGGAAGATCGCAAGCAGGCACGTAGAATGACGGAGGCTGGAAATATATACTGTAAGGGGAAAAAAAACTCTATATCAGGCAAGTTCCACTTTTTCTGTGATATTAGTCATTTTGCAATTACCATTTTAGTTCTCATCCCTTTTTAAATGCACCATTAGGGTCTTCCAACACTGTTTAAGCTCAAGGGTTAAGATCAGTAATGCTGATCATGCTAAGAATCACAGGATTTTGAACAGAGAACCTGCAGCTCTGTTACAAACTGTGAGGCTGCATCTTCACCTTTACTATTAATTTAATTTATTTCACAGGATTTTGAATGTTGAATGCTATTTTTAAGGGAATTACAGCAAGATTTACGTTGCATTTAGTACAAAGCTAACTCTGGTGTTTGAAGTAACACTTGGCTAGACAGTGACCAGCACTACCACATCTTTCAGTCTGCTGCTTATTGCTTGAACACCTCAACCTGGAGAGCTAACACCTCTGGGAGGCCACACTCCACGCTGGAGTCCAATAGGTACCACAAGGCAGCCCGTTCTTCTAGTACAAAACGCAACACGCACACAGGGTACGTACCTCCTCTCTTTGCCATTCCACTGTTTGAATCGCAGGGTCTCTGTCACGTGCGGATCATCTGAAAACCACAGTTCCTTGGAAAGGGGTGGACGCATATAGGGCAGGGCAGGATCTTCAGACACAATTAGCACCTTTAATTGATCGGGAAACACGTCAGCTTCATCAATGCCAGGAAAATGTCAAAACACACCACAAAGGCTCTGAAGCAAGCACTGGTATTCAGCCATCCCCACAGCTCTAGAACAGGGCATCTCTTACCCGGGCACCAGGGTCACGAGCCCGAATGGATCGGGCAGCAGCAAAAGCAGCAGTTCCTCCTCCAATTAGCAGGAAAGGAACGTGAGATGGGACCTCAGGGCGAGCTCCTGGAGCTGCAGGTGACAGATTGGACAGTTTACTGCAAATACAGCAGGGAAAACTGCCCAACCGCAAAGAACAAGAGTTTGTCATGAGCTGCCTTTCCCATGCAGACTTTGGCAGACTGCCCTTCAAACATCTTCTCCACCCCTTTCCTTCCACCCCAAAATGTTTCTGGAGAACCATGCGGATTCTTCACTTCCTGAATAAATCAAAGTGTCAGATTTCCACAAATCATGGTTTTTTTTAAGTTAGATCTGCACAGACAAGCCTAGCAGCAATTGCAGAGTTTTGGAATACCCAGTAGCACAGTCACCATCACATGGCTTTTGCTCATCTATTACAGATTCTCTTTTCTGTAGTTTAAGAAAGGAGGAATCAAATACAACTATCAGGACAGCCTGTTAACAAATTTCAAGACTCACTACTTCACTCTGAAGAAGTGATCCTCTTCTACCCGGCTTCCAAAAAGCTTGATTTTATAAATCAATCTACTATTTACACAGCTGCATGAAGTGACTGTAAAGTCAAAGAGCTGCAGAACTCATATCTGATATTCAACATGCAATTTCAGAAGCTTCAGATAAGATCAGGGTATTCTCTACACAGTATACCCAGGAAGGCAAAAAGTTTGGCTTTGGAGATTCAACATTCAGGTTTTACAGTAGGTGACGGTTTGCTAACAGAAGTGACATACCCAAAAGATTATTTGGAACACCAGCAAAAAGACCTCAGAGTGTTCTGAGGTGAACATGACCTGGGTGCCACTTAAACTGGAGAAAAAATACAGGATTATTTGGAAAATATGAGTTGCCAAGTGTTTGACCTAGTTCATTTTTCCTTTACCTTTGAGGACATGAATCATCTGGGAGCAAGACCAAAACTCTGCACTGGCCATTCAGTGAACAGTCTATGTGAAAGTAAAGGAGTTCACAAAAGCACTCCAACAGTGCCATGGAATATTTATTCTTTAATTATATTCCAAGAGACCAACTTTTGAGTTTTTACAAGAATGCATTTCCTCCTACATGCAGATCCTGTTTCTAAGCAACATGCAGCTAAATTGAATCTAGGAATAAAACAGTCAGTTAAATATTACCATTGAGATCATTTGAGATCATTTCACCTCACCTGCTGTGCCTTGAGAGGCAGGGTCTGCATCTGAAACAGAAAAGACGGGTGACTTAGGCACAAGTTAACAAGGATACATTTAGGAAATTGCAGTTCATGAATGACTCAAGGAAACCAGAGGATTAATGGGCTCACCACTATAAAGGTACAAAGCTTCCCAAAACATGGGCTTACTAAGACCCCTGCTTCATTGTTTAACCCTCAGCTCCCTCTCTCCCAACCCCAGTCTCAATACAAAGCTCTTACCCGTCTCCCCAAACGAAAGCAATCAGCTGCAATCAGCAATCAGGATAATCTTTCTGTTGGTTTTAAAATACATAATATACCATGTCTTCCAGGACCCAAAGCCAATATTTCTTATTCTGAAACATAATCCTTTGGCTCAACTGTCCAGACACTGCAACTTGGGATCCCATGCATTAGAAGAGATTTGATGGGCAGCCTATTGGCCGCATATAGCCTGAAGGACACCAACAAGAGCTGCACTAACTGCCTTGGTTCCTCTCTCCAGATGCAGTCCAAGCGTGAGATCCCTTCCTTACTCTTCCTCCATGCATGGAACAGGCAAGTGGCACAGCACAGAGGATTCTGCACTGGCAGATCATGCTATTCCCCTGCAATCACAGTGTCTTTGCCAGATTGGGTAGGAGCTATGCCCAGAGCAGAGTTAACTCTTCTCTCCTTGTAGCACAGAATGCTTAGAAAGCAGAAGGGAGCCTCGAGGGGCCGCCTACATTATCATTATGATCATCTGTAAAATAGGGTTTTGTTTGAGGTCAAGGAAAGCTAGCACCACCTTCCATGCTGGCAGAACATGGGAATTCATATAAAATGAAACATACTGAGAAGCAAAAATGCTCTCAAGGCAGAACTTAGGCTGATCTGTATTTTCACACCTGTTTTGCTCAGTTTGCTTCAGGGGACCAAGTTAGCAGCTTAAAGAAAAAAAGAAGACCCAGACCTGAAACTTGCAGGCTAATACTCACCGGAAGGAGCTGATTCACTTTCTCTGGATCGGGAAGTTATTGTTGCGACACGGCTAATGAATCGCTCTTTCTTTTCTTTCAATGTTTTGTATACCTGGAAGCAGAAAAGGAGGTATTTACTGCGTGTGCGTTACGGCATCAAGGCAGCACTCTGCTCCTATCCCCAACAGGCTTTTGTCTAACCTGCTTGGATGAAAGCCATCTGCTTCCAATTAAAGCCAGCAGATCAAAATACACCTCACTGGAAAGGTGCCCGTAGAGGCAGGTATATCTAGCTACAAGAGGAACACCCTTGGAGAGAGATCTGCTCTCTCTGTGCTGTAATGAAACTCAGTTGTCTGGGTGCTTTCCACAAGCCATAAAGCTCATGCAGATGTTTGGTCTTTGGACTGGAGACCTGTTTCAAGGAGGAACACATGCAACAAAGGAAATGTCATGAAACGCCAAGGCTTCCTGCAAGGCTGAGCCATGGCAAACGGCCGCAGAAGAGGAAAGCAAACTCAAGGCAAAAAGCAACTCCCAGCTCGGGAAGCTTAGAGCAGCTGGACAGCACAAGTAAACGACCTCATTAGCTTGCTCTAGGCTAGATGTTGCATGCATGACATTAGCAGTGGTGCCATTGCTAACATTAGTGGCGCTTTTAGGAAATGGAACTGTTGGCTGCTCTTAATAACAGCTTTTGGCTGGAAGAGATTCCTCTAAACGGTCATTTTTTTGCTTTGTTTTTGTTAGTTAGCCTTGACTACAAACTTAGTTGTCTATTTTGAGACTACAATTGAGAAAGACACAAATAATGGGATCTCTTTTAAATCAACATGTTAACATCGAAGAAAAAAATGCAATATAGAGAGGCAAAAGATAATGAGGCAGCTGAAAGCAGGTCACAGTGAGCTACTTCCCTCCCCAATTAATAAAAGGGAAGTAAACAATTTTTTTTAGGCAACACTCAGCTGATAATCCAATGTGCTTATATGCACTACGTTTCTGATCAATGCAAAGAAAGTTAAAAGGAAAAAGCTATCAGGACAGTCTGAAATACAACTGTTTATCCCACTGCTTTATTTTGAATTGTGAAAGAGTATTAAAACTGTCATGTCTCCAGAAGAAAAGAAAAGCCTCCTAAATTTAAAGGCAAGACGGGTAATGCTGCAGCTGACGCTAAGCCATTTATTGCAATGAAAAGTGTTACGACCTCCAACTCTGACCAGAAGTTAATTCGTTTGAGGATTTGATATCTCTTTTACTCCCTAGATGTTTTGAATTTTGCTGATCTCCAAGATCAGGCATTTCATAACACCACAAATAGGACAAAGTCTCAGATGAGACCTGAGGAGCTGAATGCAGGGCATGAAGAGAGCAGAGGCAGACAAAAGCCTATCAAGGGAAATGAAGCAACATTAAAAGCACCAAAAATTAAGAACTCACCAGCGCTGTGAAAAATTAGGATATAACATTTGTAAAACCCTTATGCTTAAACATATAAAACTTAAGTTAGGAAAACGAACGCTGTATTTGCAAGAAGCAGAACCATCAGGTTTTTTTAAAGCAAGCCTGAAGGGCAGCATACAGCAACTTAAACACAATCACTTACAAAAAAAGAATGGATACTATACACATGCAAAACGTCAAAACTTCAGGAGAAATGTTTCCAAAGGGACAATGCCAAGTTCTTTCTAGTAAGACAGAGATCTATGTACTTTGCTAGATAGCAGAGTGCTGTTTTAATGCTCTTCTCTGAAGAGAACACAAATGTAGGTAAGTACGCTTTCTTTTCTCTAATATATTTAAATTTAGTTGATTATTTCCTTTCCTGTATGTCAAGATTACTGATGTTGGAGAGATATGTTAAGTGGCTTGGGCTTCTCTGCTGATTAGAAAACAAAGATGTCCAGTCCTGCATGAGTTTTAGGGTTTGCTTCAGTTTTAGATACAGTGAACATAAAAAAACCCAACTTCCAAGGAATTTCCCCTACTGAGAACTAGAGTGTTTAGGGAAACGAATACACAAAAAGCTTAAATTATTTGGCAATGTCCCTTTAGATGATGTTTTTGAGGCCACAGAGCACAGGTAGTCTGGTTAGAGTAGATGGCTAACTTGGCGTTATGAAGGGGAAGGTCTGCTCGACACAATCACAGGAGAAAATAAACACATTTATTGAAGCATCTTACATAAACTCCTGCCCCAGTGACTGTTCCTCCTACAATTAAGTACAACAGTAGGTTGCTGCCAGCTTTCCCAGGAACACCCGAAGACGTTAGTGATCTAGAAGGGGATCTGAGGTGATGACACTGCAGAACTGTAGGCGAAGACAGGCAATGAGAGAGAAGAGAGGGAAAGAGTATTGAATGCTCTCAAAGACATGTAATTAAATAGACCTTGGGAAAAGTGGAGTGCATTTTCAGTTACCTTGTTTGTCAAAAAAATCATACAAACAAAACCCCACCAGTGCTACAAGCAGAAGCAAACACACATCTGTTTTAGCACTCGGACTGTAAAGGCCTCTTACTGTTTAAGCCATCTTTTGTATTCAGAATTAAAAGGTCTGGCTCAGATGTGGCATTTGCTTTCCAGCATGGGGTGGAAGAAGAGGTGAGAACATGAGCTCTCACAAAAGATCCAATTTCCTAAGTAACGTGTTCATTATAACAGATAACACAAGATTTTGCTTTTATACTTGGCCTTTCAGCAGCCAAGGAGCGAAGTTAAAAACAGCCTTTCAGCCACAGGGCACATACACCCATAGTTTCTGGCCCTTCCCTTAGATGTTTTAGCCTGGCCACCTTGTCAGTTACTCAATCCCACCAATTTTGGTGGATATTCACTCCATTAAAGCGTGGTTCCACTTCCCAAGGAAGCTCTTCACACTGGGAAACTCCGCCTGAATGACGGAATAAAGTTTCCTCTGCTCTCAAGCCTGCAAAATAATCTTAAAACATTTTCTTGACTAGTTTGCCTACATTTCTAGCTGCTGCAACTCAGTAGGAGTTGGCAGATGGAAAAACTATGGAAGGACAACAGGGCACAGCAAAGATTATTTAAAAGAACTAGGAAGAGACTTTTGCTCAACGTACATTTTTTGAAATGCTATTTATTTCCCAGGAGCCTTCTGCATGTGAAGAGTTTCATTAGGATAAAAACAGGACTTAGAGTTTTTGATGAACATGATCCTCAGAGATTTTCAAAACAGAAATATTTGTAAGACACATAAGCTTAGGACCTATCCACTTCCAGGTACCATTTTCTACTCTTGCATTCACCTTCTGGGAATTTGATTACTTCGTAAGTCTAGCCAAAAACCTTTCTGCTTTTAAAACTCTGAGCAGGATGTTAATATATGTTCATCAGTACTGGGCTTACAGAAGCTAAACTTTGATATTCCAAGTTGAGATTTGGCAAACAATGGTTTGCATTGGTATTAAAAGCACGAACCATCAAATTTGCCCTCAACTACAGGCTGCTAGCGCATACGAGACAACTCAGAGTTGTAGTTAGTAATAGTGGGTTTTTTAAAAAAAAGGCACTGTAAAAAAGAACCTTTATAGGAAAAAGCTAAAAGGTAACTGAAATTACAGTAGAAAGTGATTGTAAAAAGTTAATTTCCAGCCAGGTTCAGTTAGCTCCCTTTGAAGTTTTCCAAAGCAAGAAACAGCTACAGAGGTAAAAGCTAAGTTACATTAGCTGGAAGACAGCAATTGCTCAACAGGAGAGACGTATCACAGCTTCTTGCCATGAACTACCTTTCTACTTACATAGACACCCGCTCCTACTGTCGATAAGCCCACAATAAGGACCAAAACAGAACTATCTCCTTTGCCCCCAGGCACACCAGAGCTAGCCATTTGTCTGCTCATCTGTAGTTTTATGGGGACATTCCAGCGTTGCAACAAGTTGCCTAAGGAATACAATTTATTAGAGAAAACAAAACAAAACAGAGAGCTGTGAATACAAAGTCATGTTTTCAAAATGCAGAGATCAAGTCATTTCTAAGGCAAAAGGTAAATAAGCTATTTCTCTGAAAAGCCCAATACCACATCTGAGTAACTGCAGTGAATTATCCTCTGCCAAACCGAATGGCTCCAGGCCGTGTATTTGCGCCATGCAGTTGTGGATACCAAAAACATATGCACGGTCAAAAAGTAATTAAATAAATTAGTAGAAGGAGTGCCTAATAAAACACTGCAAGGATTTGATGCGGCAGAGGTTGTCGCTGTCTCAGCGATGCAGATCACGGGGACTGTGCCTCGGAGCTATGTTCATGCTGTGTGTTTGCTGTGCTTATAACCCCCCAAGCCTCTTCCACCAGGGGCAGGGACGGGGTCTGGATGCACCTTGCCCCAAAGGATGTGGTGGGGGTTATGCAACCACGATCGGATAAACAGCGGCGACACCAGCAAGAAGTCCTTGTGCTGGTAGCGCTCGTTCCAATCAGGCAGCGGGTTAAACCACCATGTGACAGAGGCTTCTGTCAACAGAATCCGTGTCCTGAACAAAAAGGGGCAGCAACAGTGGCCAGTTCGGAGAGCAACTGTCTGTGAAACGGGGCATCACCAACCTCCGCAGGCCGGCAATGCTTGGCAACCACGGCCCAGGTGTGCCGGGTGCCTAAGCGCAGCTTGGTGGTAACAGAACGCCAGGCTGCGCCAAGGAGCCCTTGGAGGCCACCTCGTGCAGAGCTGGTGGCTGAAGGTCACCAAAGGGGTGGCGGCTCCGCGCACGTGTCCCCTCCCGCGCTGGGAGCCGCT